ACTCGTTATAACTTCAATTAAATATTCTCAGTTTTTCAAAACAATCCTAAGAAAAGTATGGTTGTTATTCAATAAAATGTTCACTCTAACTACGGTCAGGATAGGGAATACATGTTAAATGTACGATTTTTAATTGCTAACATTTCGAAAATTAACACCGCAAGGACTATTAAAAAAAATTTATTCGTTTAGAGGACACTTAAAAGTACGCGTATTCAAAAATTGAATAGTATTGTAAGAAAAGTGATTTTGCACAGTACCTTCTTAAAGATCTTTAAAAGATATTTAAAATTTCATATGCCAAAAGGACGTCTAAAAAATGTAATTTTGTCAATTGCTTTGCAAACATCTTCTAAGCTTAAATTAAAAAAAAAAAAAAAAAAAATTCTAATGCTACAAAGGCATATGCTTCAAATTTAAAACTGTCTTGAGATGCACCTCATTAGTTTTAGAAATTAGAAAAATTTTTTGCAGATCTTTGCGCAAAAAAAAATTTTTTTACATATTTTTGGCGAAAAACTCTATCTTACTGTTATATTACGCCCTTCCAGTACTAATTTAGGCGCAATACCCACAAATTTTAGTCTAACACTTATCGAAAGTTATAGAGAAGAAAATAAATACAGATGGATAGATAGATAGTTATGGATTAATAATAATTAGTTAATTAATTATAATGTAAATTATAAATTATGACAAAAATCATTCTATTGAATAATATAACGCAAAAAGCATTAAATTGAATCCTGTACCGTGACAATTTTGGCCGTCTCCTTGAAAACCATGATTGCAGTGGCAGTCATAAGTCGTCTGAAGATTTAGGCAGGATGCATTTCTATGGCAATCATGACCTTTCGCGCAGTAATCCACTCCTGGTTAGATTATGTATTAAGCCATGCAATTGGAGATTGTTAATTTACCATCAGTTATCCAATTATAGTAATTAATTTATTAATTAATGATATTATTGCGAAAGTATTATATCATAGATTAGTTTATTATCGTTAATGTTGTATAGCATAGATAGAAATTTATTATCTTAATTTTAATAAAGTTTTATTGTTATTGTTATTGTTATTGATATTGAAATAATTTATCAGTATCAGTAAAGTAGAAGAAGAATTATACCTGGACAAAACTTGCAGCATTCTTCGGCTACAGTTATTTGTTCGCTTGGCGGACAAGGCAATGGTGGACACCGAGCTTTAGTGTCGATAGGTAGGCAAGTAAAACTACCGTCAAAGCACTTGCACTCGAAGCACGGTTTTGGAAATATTGCAACTCCATGATCATAAATGGTGTCTTGGTACAAACATTCCTCTGTAATGATTTTATTGGAACAAAGTTAATTATAAATAATAAATTAAAAAAATAATTCCCAAATAGAGTGGGGATATCAGCCTTGTAAAAACCAGAAAACGGTATACAAGTAAAACTCATAATAATAATAATAATAATAATAAAAAAGTATGCGTTGTATTTATTTTTTTAATTTAGTGAAGAAAATTACTTAGGCAAACAGGACAACATTTCCCCGCAGGTATAATTGGATGTTTGCAGGTGACAGGAGCACAAGGTGTAGGCCGACATTCTATTTCGCCGTGGACACACAAACATTGTTGACAGCCTTCTTCCCAAGTTGACCCGTCTTCATGTATAGTACCGTTTGATCTGCAAGATTTTTGGCACTCGCATTCCTCCACTTTGCTTATTCTACCCTCTGCAGCAGCTAGCTGAAAAGAAGGATGCACATGAGAATAATTAATTAATTATCTTTTATATTTTATGGAAATAAAAATTTTATTTTATTCATTCGCGATTTTTTTTTTTTTTTTTTTTTATTAAAGATTTAAGATCGCTTCAACCAACGGGTCATTAGCGACCGTTTATATACAAATGATTAAGTAATATATTTACAATGTCATAATATAAATAGTTAAATATTTTAATAGTAGAATTTATAACCAATTAGATTTCTTTGATTAGTTTAGTTATTTTAAGAAATTTTTTTACTTTATTGAAATTACTAATATTGTTTAGACATTTGAGACATTCTTGAATGGATACAGGTAACTTGGACTCTCTCCTTTGATTATTTAGACTTCTACATTTTATTAAAATTACATTTTATATTATAACGTGGCGCTATAAAAAAAAAAAGGAAAGTTCTTACAAATTCTGTAAGAATTGAATTTTTTTAAATATAAAATTAAAATTTGGGTACTTTTTTTTATGTTTGTAATAATCTGAATTAGGTTTTTATACAAGAAACAAACTGAAAGTTTTTTTATAAGATTTTTGTATCAAATCAAGACTATTAGTCACGATTCTTACAATTATGAAGAAAAGTCGCAAAAAATTTGAAAATTTGCAAAAATCAAAACTTACAATTGAAAAAAAAAATCTCGAAAATTTTCCAAAAAATCTAAAATGCATTTAGTCCCAACTCAAAATGTAATTACAATTTTATTCAATTTCGTGAATATCAGACAGCTCAAGTAACTAAAAAAATTTTTTAATTTGGACAAGACAATGTTTGTCAAGTCAGCCAATAATTATTAAAATATACTTACCCTGTGTGTCAATTCATTGAGATTATGCATCAACTGCTCGACTGTGTTTTGTAGAATAGAAAATTGACCGCAAGTAGGACATGAAGTATCAAGCTGAGGGCACTGTGATAAATATCCATGCGCACCTGGAATAAGCTTGACATCTTGAAGGGCGCCCTATAATAAATAATAAACCAAAAATTTATATTAATGAACATTAAACATTAAAGTTCAACGACACAATTGCGGGTGCAATGTTTCAAGATAACAAAGTATGTCTTACTACTTTTTACAGTAATTACGGTTATTGTCATTATCATTAGCTATTATCTAATTTTAATAATTGGTCATAGTGACAAATTTATGTATAAAAACTTTAACAAACGGAAATGCGGGTGGTGTGTAAAAACGACGGTGACAATGACTAAGGAGAATATAATCTCGACTCTTAAGTTATTTATATTAATATTAATATATAATTAGCGGACGTACTTTGAATAAAAAGTGTTTGGCGTTTCGTTGACCAACCCACAGTTGAAGTTGAGGCAGGGTAAAATTAGTGTCAGGTGGTCCAGGCCTCAGTAAACGCCTGTAAAGGGGGTGACAGTCAACTAGGAGCTCGACCTGCGAGCCGCTAATACTCAGGGCGACCCTGTGCCACACTCCGTCAGCCAGACGGAAGGGAAAGGCCTCGACATGTACGGCACCATCACGACGTGATACGTAATGAAGACGCAATTCGTCTTTACGTCCGCTGCTTTGCAGCTCCAAGTATCTACAATTTATCATTGTGTTAATAGTATTAAATTAAATAGGCTTGTTAGTTTTTTATTAGTTAATTTTATGTTGAGCTTTTCAAAATAATTGCTTTATTTTGTTCTTTCAGTTAGTCCTTCATCTGTCAGGAAGTATCAATAAAATTTATTTTAATTTATAAATTTTACCTTGAAATATTTAAAGTTGTTTTTTTGGACTTGAATAAATGGAGTCTTTATTGTTATTGTTATATAGTGAAGCCGTACAACGGATGAAGGGTTAATAAGAAAAAATAATGTGTAATTTATGTGTAAGTTAATTAAAATTAACGTACCTATTATTACCATGAGAAAAGGCTATTATTGTTCCCGAATTAGCCTCTTCTTGTCTCAAAGAGGCGGCTACAGTAAACTCCGGAACCCGCCGGAGCAAAGATGCCGCTCTTTCAAAATTTATTTGACTTACTTGAAGGTCTCTCTCCTCACCTAAAAAATATTTAAATTGTTATTTAAATTTCAATGTTAATTGTAAATTAAATTATAATTTATTTAAACATTTAAAAATTTTTCACAAAAATTCTGGGTCTTTAAATTTTATGAGAAAATTTTTTAATATAATCAAAGTAATTGTAAAAAATTTCCAAGTTTGCATACGGAGAGAAAGAAAAATAAGTTCCCTATTTTTCAGTAGGGAATTTATTGGCTCAAGAATTTTTTTAAATGAACCATTCAAATTTATTAATTTTTTGATGACAGATTACCAATATCTGCCTTTATTATAAAATATTAACATTCATTTTTTATTATATTAATTTTCATTAAAAATAAAAACTACAACACGGAAAAAAAAATGATATTTTATATTGTAAGCCTGACGCTTAGAAAAAAAAACTGGAAAATTAGTTTAAGATTATATTTATGTAAATTCAATTTTAAATATTGATTTTTATACTTTTGACTGTAATTATTACAGAATTTATAAAAATTATAATTTTTATTTTTCTCAAAGCGCGTGATAGTATAAAATATAATCATTGTGTTTTTTTGGGGTAAAATATCCCATAATTCTCAAAAATATAATTATCTTTACGAAACCAAAACAGTTTCCAAGTTTGCCAAGAATGTTTTCGACAATTTCATAATTCGTTAAGCGTTCCAGGCACTTTGAAAACTTTCTGGAATGTTTCAAAAGGATTGTGTTTTCTCAAGAAATTACAAAAGTTCCGGATAAGAGATTTAGGAACAATGATAAATAAAAAAGACAGCCAGTCGTGATGAGAGTGATTCTCTAAGCATTCCCTTTTTCATCGGATATATGGAGCCCTAAAAATAAAATATTATTTAATTCCTGAATGGAAGGGTTGAAATAATGAAACCGATTCACTGAGAAATTTGATAACATGAAATGTTAGCTGTCCTCATCATCATCCCGGAGAGTTATATCATTACTATCATAGAATATGTAGAATCGTCTCTGTTACTCGAGACTCTGACGATCTCAAGTTTCCCGAGTGCATATTCAACGGTTTGGATATTCAATGAGCACCTGCAACTGCTCAATGGTACCCAACAGTAATGGACAATGATAGTGATAGTAATTGTAATTATAGTAGACAAAATGACCATATCACCAATCGTCCCAGTAAAGCAAGGATATCATTTTCGTCCATGCAGACTATTTGATCCAAAAGAGTTGAAAATTGTAAAATAAATTGTTCCCATTAGATGCTCATGTTGAATTAATTATTTGGCTTCTTAGCTAACTTTAAAAGTACCCCTTTACTGATACGACGCAGGACACTCATATCTCGTTTCACACATGCCGCTATCGCGGTAACTCAATACCGTTGCTGGTAACCACTCTCTTTATCGACTGCGAACCTTGTACGTTATCATATAATATTATAGCATTTAATTCATAGGCGGCTGAAGATAAGTCAAAGCTCCTATTCCTATTTACTCCTTTACTTTCACACTTGTATTGATGCTAGCGAGAAATTCGGGGTAAGTTAAAGCGGACGAGAAGGTGCTGGAAGCTAAATAAATTAACGAAAAAGGATGAAGGAGATATCCAACCTTCAGACTCAATTACTTGGGTCTATGGACATTATTATACGGAGAATTGACGCGTGCCAGACGTCATGTTACGTTAATGAAAATTTTTACTCTTCAGTTCACATGGTTACCGTTTATTTATTGTATAGTTTTAAGTTGTAAGACTTCCATTCGTTTTGTTTCGAGCAGATGTATCATTAATTTTTTATTTTAATCGAGTTATTTTAATAAATTTTTTTGTAAAATTAATACAAGAAATTTCTAGATTATATCTCTAACCCTACGTAAAAATGATATATTCTGAAATATATAAGTATTCTAGAATAGACCTGTAGTCTTCCAATTTGTAGCTTTACTGAATTTTAATGCGTAAGTAATCAAGTTGAAATATTGAATTTTGAAGAATGATTTTCTATATTTCAACATGTACCATGTTATGCATTTAAGCTGATTAACTTCTGCAAAAAAGCGGAAAAATACGTTCAAAAAATTTAAAATTAATACAAGACAAAATTAATATTAATGTTTTTTATTTAACTGTGTGCTATGTATCTGGTAAAAATATTGTTACTGACGGCTGTAAGAATATAATCCCTTTTAGTAAGCTTTGGATGAATAAATAAAAAAAAAATAGTATTGTATTTGCCGAAGCAAAATTCACCTCTGCGCTAATTTTTATCAATACTGGATTAATAATAAAATTTTGTCGTAATTTTTATATTTTTGATTTTTTTGCTTATTTTTTCACATTATTTTTTTAGAATTTAGATCTTAAAGTTGAAAGAAAAGTGATTAAAATTGACAATTTTTATAATTTAATATTTAGCTAATTGATTTTTTACGTTTTTATTTATATTTCAACATATAGTTCAAGAATAAACTTGTTTAATAATGACTTTTGTCAAACTTTATTACTAAGTATTGCAAATTATTTAAAATAATGCAGTTAAATTAAGGAAAAAAAATTTCAATACAGTAACTTAACTGCTCGAGGACAAAATCAAAAAAGTTTGGAAAATCCAAAATTGCACGCCTCATAATCTCATTTTTCCACAATAAAATTGATTAAAATAAAATATAAAAAGCAAAATAATAAAAAACAGAAAACTCTGCTATGGTTTAGTGGCGCCATAACTCTAAGGTGAGGAAAAAAAATACTATAATAAAATGTATAGATAGATATACAAAAAAATCCACAGTCATATATTAGTTTTTTATAAATAATAATTTAACGACAGTGAATTTAACGCTCATATTAATTAGGAAAATCCTTCGTGTGTTACTTTAGATAATAAAAAAAAAAAATTGTTCCGGTACGATAATTTTTTCGACCAATTTCCCTGCCACAGACACCCATCCATACGCGGACGTCCAAAAAAGATTATGTTTAATGTTATTATTTAATATGTTAAACAAAAAAATTGTTATTGAAATATATCTTATGTGCCTGACAAATTATTCGACTTGATATAAGTGTACTCATATTAACCTGTAAGTGCGATATAAATAACAAAAAATCAATTTCAGTTTCGAGAAAACTGCTTTTTTTGAAATGTCGAGAGTAGAGCACAACCTCAACGCTTCGCTTATGAGGCGTGCAAAACTGTGATAAAAATAATCGGAACAAAAATAACCAATCGACATAATAAACGTGATGTATTGAGTCAAGTATCATTAACACTAGCTTAAATATAACTCAGTAAAAAGTTAAAAGCATTGAATTTTTAATTCCAAAAATAGCTGGAATTAGTAATTGAAAACGAGTGACAAGTTTAATAAATCTTTGGATACGTTTGAATTTATATGAGCGCACAGTAAAAAATATTGTGTATTTGTGTCGAAAACGGTTTGTGTTAAAAATTGTGTAACATAAAAAATGTGTTATATACTCTTTATTAACATATTTTGTATGTTACTGGGGAATAAATACAAAGTTTGTGTCAAATTCTTCATTAATATAACATCAACTTTGTGTTGACAGCCCGTCGATTCTTCACTTTACGCAGCAAACATTTTCACGAAAATATAATAAATATATTAAATAATAAAGACAATTAAATTTATATGACACTGAAGTTAGCAGACATCTAAAAATTTTTAATTTTTTTTATTAAATAAATTACAACTAAAAAGATATTTCTAAAAAATTGCACTTCTAGTTTTTAAAGTTTTTTAGATGTGACATTTTTTTTTTTAATTGTTAAATTGAAATTTTTTCAATAAAAAATTTCTAAAAGTTTTAAAATGTCGGTTAACTTCATTTTCATAAATTTATAACTCTGCTGCTTTACTTTTAAAATCTATAAATTATTTTTTGATTTAATTATTAAAAATTTTTCATACTTTCTTCCTTCCAATTATTTATAGTCGGTAATTGTTGATGTTTCGTTAAAATGTAAATGATAAAAAAAAACATTTTTAAATAAATATTATTTACTGCAGTTGAGAAAATAAAAAAAAATTGTTTTATAGGTTATGTTATAGGCATCAAACAGTTGATGAAAATAAATAAATTTATTTAACATTTATTTTGTGTTAAAATTGACACTGTAGAAGTGTATGATTCTCTGCGCCCTCTTGTGGCGATATTTCAACATAATCTTTGTGTTAAAAAGGGGTTACACAAAATTTGTGTTGAAATTTCAACACATATCTTGTGTCAACCATTTTTAACACACAAACTGTGTTGATTTTACACAATATTTTTTACTGTGCGGTTTATTTTATCGTTTTCGATGGGACAATGAAGCACACGTTCAAACAATATTTCGGAGGGTCATAAAGCCTGGAGTTTCCAACATAAAGCGACGATATGGTGCGAGCTTTTACACCCCTTTCCGTCTCTACGTATATAATCTCTATGCGATGGGTATTACGATAATACTTTCATTTATTTTCATCGAAATCCCCAAAAGCTGGCAATTGAAATTTCGGTTCACTGAATACTACCCCTACAACTTTACACTCGAAATGCTCACTAAATCCTTTTGATAGCTTTTTAAATAAATGAAACATTTAATAACTGTTTTTAAACTGGAAATATATACAAGGTTTTCATTATTTTAATAATAATTATTATTATTTATTATCAATCAATAAGTTATAGAATTTGCTTATGGTAATCAAAATTTCAAGTTGCAAATCCATGCATAGTAAGAATTATTTATGATATTTATTATCAATTCTATTCTTAAATTTAGATTTTAAATCAACTATTTTTATCAAAAACAAAATTGTTATAATAATAATTTAATTTTCGTACAAAATTAGATGAGATTTTTTTTCAATTAAATATTGATATTCTTTGCAAGAATAATATCACGAAGTTGACAATTTTGCAGGAAAAATATTTACTTTTGGGTCATTTTCATAATTATCTTATGAGTTTAATTAAAATTTTTCCACTATTTTGATAATAATCTCTGTCAAACTTATTATAAATTACTTCTCTCCATTATTTAATTTCTGTCGTATATTAACGGTTAAAATATCTTACGTGTCAACTATAAATCAACAAAATTCATGAAATTGGGCTCACTTTTTTTCATACATTTTATTAGAATAATTAAATATTTTTATGATAAATTTCATTACTCAATCATATTTATTTTAAAATATGAATTTAAGAATGAATATATTAATTATTAATTTATAGAAACAAAACCTTTTTATCGCACGGAAACTGTGCAATAAAATATCAGATCAAAAAAATTTCCCTCAATAAATTATTTCAATTTTAAATGAAAAGTTGATAGAAAAATCCATAAAATAATAAATGACTCATGTAATTTTAGATAAAAAGTTTATTGACCTTTGAAAGAAGGGCTAATGACCTTGAGACATTTTATTAATCCCTCTGGATATATAAGACCGTGTTATATTTTTTGGGATATCCAGAGCCAGGCCGAACATTATATTAACATTACACCCCTTCCCCGAGAAACACGCGAACTACCCTGATGATCGTAAGCTGGTTATTGGGCGGAGTTTGAAATAATTAGACAAAACCTCCAGACTATTTTATATTCTACGAAATGTGTTGCGTGAATGTATGGTTTTAATAATTCTAGACAATGATTATTAGGTCCTAAGCACCTCAATGTCTTGGGGTCTGTATTTTCAGGGTCATAAAAATTACAGTGATGACCAGCGAGGCACAAATAGAAACCGAAATAAAAATTCAAATAATAATTGCAAGTAAAATAAAAAAATTAGCATCAGTTTATGGATACTCACCCTGAAGATAATATGCAGGTTTCAGTCTAACGAGACCGGGTACTTGTGTCACGCCCTGGCGTGTCGTGTTGTGCAGTTGCAATGCTGCCAAGAGGTCTATACTACCCCCTATGTCATTTCCGGTTCTCGTTTTAACGACGGCCACTGTCGTCGTTTCAGTCACTGCAGCGGATGCTGGACTCGTCGTTTCCTCTTCTATACTGTCGATCGTCGCTCCCATAACTGCAATAAAAAATTTTTATTGTCAGTATTAACATTCATGTTTATATTTTTCTACAATCTATGTCACCGATCATTGATCGAATATTTTTTGAATTAATAATATTTAATGATAAACAAAACAGTTTTTATGAATAACTTTTCAGCCATTTTGCGAATAACGTAAATTTATGTCACGAACCCGGAAGGAATTGGAGCGTAAATAAGTTATTGCAGTAAAAATAATTTTTTGGGACGTTTTGCAGTGATCCGAGATCCGAATAAAAAATTTTTTGATATTATAGTGACATTAACTTTAAAGGTGGTGTACTATTGGATTTTTTTTTTACAAAGGTATTTTAGTTAAAGTTTCTAAGCTAAATTTGTCAAGTAAAATCATTTATTTAATTCTGTGAGATGAATGGTCGAGAAAGGTCAAGCTTTTGCCTGTGCAAAGATTGTATTACAAAAGTACTAAAATAATACCTTTCATTATATTGTAATACTGTCACACCTTTAATATAAAATTCGCTTGAATTGTAATAATTCTTTATTAATTTAATAAGAGTGACATTTGAGCTTTTAGTTTTTGTAATTCTGTTGACATTTTTAATGAATGCTTTATTAAATTGAATAAGTTAAATATATACTGATAAAAAGTAACTTTATAAAAACATGCAATGAAATAAACTTGTTATTATTAAGTTAATTTCTTTATCAGTATATATTTAACTTATTCAATTCAATAAAGCATTTGCAATTTGCTTAGTTGCATAAGTTTTAATCTCACCGTGATAAAGAAGTTAATTTAATTTAAGGAAAAAAATTTTTAAACCAAAGAAATCATTTTGAAAAAGTTTATCTTGATATCAGGCAGGAAAATTTTTAAATCAAGTGAAATTTTCCTTTAAGAATCATTTTTTTGTTTAAGAATTTAAAAATTTTTCTCTTGAGTAAAGTCAATTTCTTTATCAGAATAGAGAATGTAACAATAATAGAAATAAAAAGAGAAACTACACGAAAAAAGAAACAGTTGAAATTTTAGAGTTAATCATGTAAATTTTAATATAGAATATGGTAATTATTTCCAAGTGGGGTCAATCCCATTTTTCCCTATGTTTGGTCATAGAAAAAAAATTTTTTTTTTATCAACTTGATCAATTTTTATTTTTAAATTATTCGTTGTTTTATGTATTTAAACAAAAAAGTATATCAAAAAAAGATAAAAGAGAAATTTTATCTAAAAACATGAAAGTCAATTTTTTTTTCTAACTTTTAAAGGCAAAAAAGCTATCAAAATCTTTATTTTTTCCTTTCACAATATTTTTTGTCATAAATGCGCGGTAAAATAAATAAACCAGCAGAATAAAAAAAAAAACTTTTTAAATGTTAATTATTTACCTAATTATGACCCCACTTGTAAATAATTACCTAAAATTTTCATGAACTCTGCAAAAAGTACATTTTAAAATTATGAAGATCATAATTTCAAATAAAATTTTTATGAAATAAAATTCTGTGTATTGATTTTTACAGTTTTAAAATGTAATTACAGTTTGTGAAAATTTTACTTTGAAACTGCAATTGTTTCATTTTTTTGTACAGAGACCTTAAATATTAAAATTCACACTATAAACTTTAAAAATTCAATTATTATTTTTTCCGTGCGAAACAAGAAAAAAAAATCACAAAATTAATTTAAAAAATAAAACAAATAGTAACCGTAGGAAAATAATGCTGATATTTCTTGACAGTTGTAAATAGTGTAATGAATATTTTTTGTATTGTCATAAGTAACAGTAATAATATTGTAACATTTGATTGACAAATTGTAAAAAGAAGCAGCGAACTCTACCGTGGCATTGGCCGTTCACAAGGTTGCTCGTGATAGTAAAGTCGAGGCAATTACAATTGTACATTTGAGTATGAGTACACGTCCCGAAGGACATGAGAAAAGCTCGTCTATACTCGTATTGATTAAAAACCGCGTAGCTTTTTAAAAGCTGAGCTTAAAATGAAAATCACATTTTTTGAAGAACACAATAAAAAAAAAAAAAATAAAAAGACTAATTATAAATAATTTTGATTTACAAACTTGGTAATTAAATACGTTAAAAATAATCCGAATTTAAAGCCCGTACCTTTGTTGTTCTGTTAATTTATTTAGCGTCAATTAAGCTGAGTAGAGAGCACGCTGCCCAACAAACCGGAATAGCCATTGCCATTACACATACCAGCAATAGAAGAATGGCGAGGTAAAGAGAAGTAGAAGAAGAAAGACGATAGAAGAAAAGAAGAGAAGCCCTTTTGAGCCCTCGTATTTCATCGACACCGCACCGATGTCTCATTCTATTCCATTCGCTGCGCTGGGTGACAAAGCCGAGCTTTAGCTACGCGTTATAACTAAAGTAAATCGTCCGGTAAATTAATGACATACTGGGTAGATACGATTACTATACTTCTGCTTCTATTCTACTGCTACTATTAATTTACCGCTGCAATTATTCCGACCACAACTATGCTTACTATCAATACTTGATATCTGCTTTTTAAAATGTTATTGGATCAATGGAAAAAAATTTTCAATCAAATAAATTATTTTATTCCATTGAAGTTAAATAAGAGTTTCACTGTTTTAAATCAAGCTGAAAAATTCTTGAACTAGGTATATTATTATTTATTTGTTTTTACCAGATGTACAAGTCTGTTCGACAAACTTTGTTACATTTTTGTTTATATAATTGTCAAGAACTCTTAAAAGGGAGTATTTGTTTATAATCTAACAATCTAACATTTTTCTTAGTTCAAGAAATTTTCTACTTGATTCAAGATGATCATTGATAGCTCTTCAAAATAACATTTTTGGTCAAAGATGTATTGTCTTGAATCAAGTTAATTTTTTCAGTGGAAAATTGATTAAAAATAATCAAATTCTTTAAAATTAATTTCTTGGCTTGAAATTATTTTTTTTAGTCAAGTTAATTTTGTTATCAGTGCATCAGACAAAACATATTAATGCTTCTGTAAATAAAAACGATTTCTTAATTCAAAAAAATATTTATGCAAGCTATAATTTTCTTGAATAAAATTTAATTTTTTTGAATAAAAAAAAGTATTATTTTGCCTAATACTATTTTGATCTTCTTTATCGATTTTCTTGGTTCAAGTAAACTTTTTTTCTGTGTAAATATGAACTGTGTGATCTTATTAAATTATTAAGTTAATTACACTTGGTTGATACACTGAAAAAAAAAAAATTAATGATTAGACAGAAAAATTCTTGAACCAATAAAATCATTTTAATTGATTTAAAAATTTTTTGTCTTGAATCAATTTTTTTTCAGTGTGTAAAATTTGATTTGTAAATAGAAGATAGATAAAACAATATTTAAAAAAAAAAAAACATCAAACACAGACAAAAATCAGGTTTAAAAATTTTACAATTGATGGAGTAGCCGATTAAACAATTTTATATTTTAACAAAAAATTTTTTTATGTGCTAATGCGTTTCAACTTGAAACTTTCAAGTGACATAAATAATAAATATATCATATCATATTATATAGTACACTGTTTTTCAAAGTTGCTTTCACCCTCTTATTATATCTGTGGTATCGGCGTTACGTCATCCGTCTCAGTCTTAGTCTTGTCTTGTCTGTGCTTACACAACTTACGTCGCCGGGCGACGATACGAGAAAAGTATTATGTATACAGATATAATAGTGCAGAGAATAAGATGAAGATGCGGGATGAAACGGAAGAGGAACTGGGTGATGGCAGACTGCCGGGCGTCAAGACGACGGGGCTATCGAACCGTATACGTGGGTCTGTCCACTCATTGGGCTATTTTATATTTTTTCATTATTATTATTATTATTATTATTATTATTATTATTATTATTACTGTTACTATTATTCCATTCTTACTGTTAAATAACTTATTATCATTTGTATACGTTTAGTTAGGGCTATATAATGATGAACTGAAGTGTAGCAAGATATGGATGATTATATAATTATGTAATAGTTATCTGAAAATTGTCGAGAAAATTGAACATATGGAGGAGGGAACGAAGAATTAGATGAAAGAAATGAAATTTTATTTCAGCTGGGGACCGAAGTCTGACGTGTCATCGTCTATTTGTCATGTTGTATCAACGAGAGCGGATATTATATGTACAATATCTTCTATCTTGTATCTAGTATCTGGCAAATGCATTTTTCACCCCAAAGTTTAACGCTCTCAAGCATTATGAGAGTAAGTTTCTATTCCACTTTTGGTTAAAGGTAGAACGAGGGTTCATACCCGAATGCTATCGATCAATACCCTACGACAAAGCTTCCATGTTTCTCCCTACCTCAAATTACGGTTTCGACACGTCCAAACTAAGTCTTAAGATATATAATTCATCATTGTCTTTTATTAATATTTTATGAGTTGCTATTGTTGTGATTGGATTGTTTTATAAGCTACACTTAGAAGTGAAGTTTCATTTATTATTTTTACCTGCGTACTCGAAAAAAAAAATTTAGGGACTGTTCTTATAAATCAAATATTTAATTCTTCAATTACAATTGAGCTGAAAATTTTTTTCATCTGTAATCATTAAAAAAATAAATACCTATATTAAATAATATTAATAACCAAAATAAAAAATTTTTAAATTATGTAAAATTTAGAAAAATTTTTTCAGTTTAAGAATTTTTATCCTGAATTAAGCAAAATTTTTTTTTTCAGTGTACTACGACTATATCTGATATTTTTTTTCTCACAAATGTCTTCTGTTTAAATCAATTTAAAGTGTACATTTCGTTCACAAAAATTAATTTAAAAAATCTAAGAAATGTTAGTTAGAAATTGATATTCTTTCACTCAAGAAATTAAAAAATTGAAGTGATTAATTTTAACGAATTCTTGGACCCAAAAATTTTTCTCAGTGTACAATTTAATTTTTTATGATCACCAAAAAATTCCAATTATTTAGTTTCTTATTCTTCATGAAGTATGCAAAATTAATTTTTTATAA